CTGCCACACAACACCCCAGACTTAACAACTGTTGATAAGAAAGACAAAAAAAAGTCTGGATAGTGGACATTGCAATACCTGGAGACACCAGAATAGAAAAGAACTGGAGAAAATCACAAAATACAAAAACCTGCAAAGAGAAATAGAACGACTGTGGCAAAAGAAAGCAAAGATAGGACCAATAGTAACAGGCGCCTTGGGTGCATCCCAAAACATCTGGAGCACCACTTGAACATCATCAGCATTGACAAAATCGCCATCAGTCAATTGCAAAAGGCATCTTTACTTGGAACAGCTTCCATCCTGCAACAATACCTTTAACACCATCAAACGACAACATCTGCCTATCCCAGGTCCTTGGGAAGGACTCGATAGGTGCATAAAAATGCCAAATCCAGTCTAAACATCTGGCTGATTATGCAACCAACCATAACAACAACCACCACCACCTCCTGGAAAGATGTGAGCCCCTGCAAAATCCCAGTGCTGTATAAAAATATGGGCAATTATTACCCTTGATTGCTGCAGAAAACATGCAGCTGAAGCTCTCTCTAAGAATTACAATTTGTAGGTGGGAGAGAGAGAGATGCATTCCAGCCCTGTGTTTTGTTTTGTTTTTAAATCCATATCTCCCATTTTTGTCTGAGCAGTGATGGTGTACCTGAGTCTGGCTGAATATGATTGTGGTGTTCTCTGTGACAGGGCATCCTGGTTGCCCTGCAGGATTCATGCAGTGCAATGTTGAATAGGAATGTTGGTTTGAAAGATGCCTGGCTGGCCCATCTATACTCTACGTTTATAGTTTAATCATGTCTGAAGGGCTTCAGCCTAAGGATGGAACTCAAAGGTAGCTCAGCACATACACTTTATCAAACTCATAGTTGCCAAAATGGTGGCACTGTTAGAGAGCCTTACATGGAAGGATTACTAGTCAGGAGGTGGAGTTTAACTCTGATATCACATAGTGACCTCTGCTGTGAATTCAGTCAGTCCTTTTATGTAAGATTCCCCATCTATATCTCTAGTAATGGGATGGGATTACGAATAATATTAACTTATCCAACAGGAGTGATGGAGCATTTTAAACACTGGAAAATTGTATATACCTTTTAACTGCTCTTAACATTTATGTTTATTTTCATTAGAAACACACTTGGGGAAAAATTCTCCATCAGTTATACTGTGTATACTTTGCAATCCAATTAAAAATTAAATTAAAAAGTACCCAGGGTATGCATTCACTTAATTATACCTTGCAAAGATCATATCTTCACTGTATAACATATAGTTTTGTCATAATACAGGACAAGGAATTTAATACTAAGTCAAGTATACAATCTCCTCTCTCTTTACTTGAGATTAAGTGCCAGTGAACCAATGTCCAGAACCAAATCTATTAATGCAGAACCAGAGTAGTTTTAGGCAAATATGAAAACTTTTGAGGCTGTTTAGAGAATTCCTTTAGATGCTCCGTGCATCTCCCAGAGAAGGCAGGAACAGTCATAGTAAACCATTATTCTCATGTCTCTTGTTTCTCCTCAAAAAAGAGGAGAGTGAAAGTTGTCTCTAAGAAAATTAAAACAGTCTACATATTTTTTGAAAAATGTATTTTAAATGTCATAAAGCCTTAGAAGGCCTTAACACATATTGTTTTGCATATTAAACAGAAATCTTTGCAAGTCGGTCTGTTCTATTAAAAAAACGAATAGTAGTAAGCTAAGTTAAATGACATTATTTGGAAGAAAATTCTCATAAGCACATATCTATTATGAATCCAAGTAATAATCATAACCTTTTTATAAAGAACAACTTAGAAATGTGTTATTTTGTGGAAAACATGCTAATGCTAAATTCCTTCTGTTTTTTTCCAGAGCAAACTGTGAAGAACTGATATTTGAAGAAACAGTCACATCTCAAGTGGTACCCAACCTGTCTTCATCCTATATTTAAGAAGTATGACAAGCTTATAATAAATGGACAATATCCATTACATTGAGTGGAACTGGGAAGACATTGTCCAATGTTCTGGTTCAAGTTTTCAGATCTACTCGTTCAGTCATTACCTTACTGGTTTCATTCTTATGACTACCACAGACTCACTTGAGTATTTTCTCACATAAATAAATCTCACTGTTCTAACTGTACTTATTCAATAAAATAAACTAAATAGCTAAGAGATACCATTTTTATTTTTGGCCATGTTGTCCAGGCAAAATGTCATTACTTCTTGTCCTGTAATTCCTCAGTAGGCATTATTAATTGGTTATTATAGCTTTTAATAAATAGATCTTGTAAACTTAATTTAGTTCAAATATTAGTCTTGAGAATGAGGGTCTGTTTAACATTTTGACTGATGTGCCTATACACACACACACACACACACACACACACACACACAGATTGGACTGAGCATTACAGCTCTCCAGACTGGAGTGGCCAAGGGCTTGACCCATCCCTTATGACTACCAAACAGAACTGCCTGCTCAGGAAGGAGTGGAACCATTGTACAACAGTGCCCTAAGCCCACCCTGAAGCAGTCCAGGAAGATACTGTGGTTAATGGTATCAAACACCACTTGGAGATCTGATAGGACCAGAAGGGCCAAATTCCTTCAATCAAGGTTAAAGTAATGTACCTGGGCAAACAATGGCATTTGTATCTCACACCTAGGCCTGACAACCTCTGGAAGGGATCAGGATAATCAACTTCATCCAGGATGCTCTCTGATATCTCATAACCTTCTCTGAAATCTTCTCTAAATGGGTGAAGTTGGAAACTAGACAGTCATATTAAGGGATAGTTACTTCAGAAGGGACTGCACTAATGCTTCCTTTGAGGCACAAATGCCTTCCTCAGCAAATCATTAATTACCTCTCAAATGGACCTTTAGAACCTCTCCCACAGCAGGCCTTTCTGTTGTAATCCACAGATTATAGAATTCATATTACAAAAAACTCTGCCCTTCCTTACTGTCCACAAACTAAAAAAATCCCAAATGGCTTCACGAGGCATTGTCCTAGTCACCTCCCCCGGATCTGCCCACATGCATTCCCAGTAAGAACTAATGTGAGACTGCAAAAATATCACAGTGGATTGCCCATTCTTCTGCAGAAGAAAGCAGGTCACTTTAAAGAGTCCTCCTAGATGATATTCCACTGTTTCAATAAGAATGGAGTAATATTGAGATTTGCCACCCTTATAGCCATAGTGTATAGGCCTGAACCTGGACTCATGTTTGTGTTTAATCATATTCATTTCTCATCTTACACAGCTGGTGCTTTAGGTATTATTTCTACTCTTTCATTTTCTGGAGCTGTTCAGAAAACAAAGGAGTCCCCTTGCTGTAGGGGTGGGGTTGGTGCCCAGAGAGAGGCTGCTTGGATATAATCACATCCAATGTCCTTGTTGTCTCTGAATTCCAGAGCTTAATCAGGCTTATGATAGGGGTTGCCTGCCATATTACTAGGAACCCCCCTGAGAACTGCTGAAAACCAAGTGGGTCCATAAAGTTTTCATTTATTAAAGAAACAAAATTATAATGAAATACTAAAAATATATAGTTACAAACAAAAATAAACTAAGAAAAAATAAAAATATAAGGTAAGAGGAGAGAAAAAGGGAATGAAAATTTGAAAGTATATATATGCATATATAAATTTAAGGATAAATTCAAATATTCAATATTCAATAGAGTGATAGCTTTATTTAATGCATCTTCATTTAGTAAACTTTGTGTGGACATGTTCCTGAAATGATGGACAAGTCCACTGAATCCAAAGCAGTACAGATGAGGCACTTATATGTTAATTTTATCTTAATTGTATGACATTTGCAGCAGATGTAATAATTGTTTACTTGGATGTAAACATCACTGAAATCAATGGGACATATTCCTGAAGAGGCATTTATGGCAATATACAATGTAAATTCAGAACCAAAATTATTTTCAAATGATATATCCTATTATTCCTACTACATCTATCCTGTGCATCTATGAATATATGGAACTGATTTTCTTTACATATGAGACTCTTCATAAGCGAATGATAAAATTGGTAGTATAAAGGAAGGAAGGAAGGAAGGAAATGTGCATGCATTTTGTGCATGAAGAGAATGAAGTATCCTTAATTCTGGGAGGGCCTGGGTGAAAATAGGATCCATGCAGATCCTCATAAATTTACATGATTTTAAACGAGATTCTAAAATTACCAATTACTTACGTCTCCAGAACAAGACATTGCAGTCATGGTTCTAATACATTTTGGGACTGCCATGGCATATACAATTGGATTTGATACACAGATTCTCAAGGATCTGATTACTTTTTACATGGGATACCACTGAAGCTACTATCAAGCCAGATACATCTGCGCAGAATGAGCCAAAATAATCATGGAACCAGTGCTTGTTTGGTACTGCTGTGGCAGAAAAATATGAACCCAAAGCACAGATCTTCTTGGATTCAGACAAATTTTATATGGGATCCAGCTGAAACGCCTACAAAAACAAATTACATTAACCTGCACAGATTGAGACACAAAAATCACACAGACTATTTTTCAGGTGGAGCCCATGTAATTCTGAGTATGTGCCAGTACATAGCATATACATCCTAGCTGATGGGATGCTGATTTGTAAAGGAGTATCTAGAATAGAGACCCTAGCTGGCACAGAATTACATGAGTGTGCTTGGGATAAAGCTGGGCTTTAATTGTGCTTGTGAGTCAAATATGCCCAACCTGAATGGTACGATCCTTATCCACATGCTGCATGCAACATTATAGAGTTAAGTGTGGTTATCTAGTCCACCTCTTCTTACTTACTTAAAAACATTGCGTGAAAGCCTCCATTGACCAAACCATGATGGATGATGCAACCATTGATAAGGCATTGCTATAGAGGAAATTAAGACTGCAGGAAAGTGAGACAAGTGATAGGAAAAGCCCAAGTTTCTACATCTTTTTGCCCTTTCTAATTATCACACTACCCAGCCCCCACATGATTGTTTAGAGGACCCAGTTGCATCCCCTTTGCCCTTCAGGGGTCCTCCATCCTGAGTCCTGTTGCTTGGTATCTGTTTTTCTTTCACTGAATGCTCTGAGCTGTTTCTTCCTCAAGGGCCTGAAAAAGGTTTCTGAATTATTGCTGTGCAAAATAATTTCTACATCTCTTGCTTCTGATTGTTTTTCTCAACCACTTCATGTATAGTGGTACCTCTGGTCGCAAACCGAATTGGTCGTGAACCGAATCAAATTTCCCCATAAGGTTCAATGTAAATACGGTTAATCCTTTCTGAACCATATGTTTTTTTTTTTAAAAAAAACGCAAAAATATGACACAAAGTACAGCACAAAGAGAGAGAAAGCTAACCTTGCTCAGGTGACTTCTGGTGTGGAGGACAAGAAGGCGGGTGGGGAGGCGGATATTGCTTGGAGGGAGAGTCCCCCTCCCTGAAGGAGGCTGCGACCACGTGTCACAGGAGGGAAAATGGCTGTGGATCCTGTTTGTAACCCGATCCGGGGTTCGCGAACGGAGG